GCATTGAAATCACCTGTGAAAACTACCCTTGAAGCGATGTGATTGGTGTTCAGGAAGTCGATCTTGACGGCGGGGTATTCAAGTAGGACATCCCAGTTATGGTCCGAAGGAGGCGAAGCCGCAGAAGGTCCTTCCTGTCTGATTCCAAGACGGCTCTGGAGCAAAAAAGACTGCTGCGGACAAAAGCCACAACTCCCCGTTCTTTCTCAGATTGGATACACCTCATAATTTGAGAAGCTATGATGGTTAATCGTTGCAGACTCTGAGGTTTTTGTTTTGGCCAAGAAAGGCGTGCGGGACGATTGGATTGCGAGTAGTGATAAACAGTATCAATGTTGTTGTTAATCCCGCGGATGTTCGTGAAACAAAATCTTCGATGTTGTTCCCTCGACTCCACTCTCCACCCGGACCTTCCGAGAGTGGAGTGAGTTTTCGTCCGGAATTCTTAGTACTCGAGGTATCCATCATCATTCTTTTGTAGGGGAAGATAACCGACTGCATAGCTGAGACACAGTGGGAAAAGCTAGTGGGTGGTACCGCCTCGGTCGACTGGTCTTTGTCTACCACCTCCTTTTTGCGTGTCATTGATGTTAACTTACTACCTACTTATTTTATTGAAAACCATTACCTTAAGATTCACCACAAACTCAAAAACAACTCAAAATAAGCTCGCACTGATTGTAGTGGCACTTGAAATGCACATAACCAAATTTCCTAAATAAGGCGCTAAGTAACTATCGAACTTGATCAACATAAACCAACAAAATTAATTTCATTCCTGTAACAAATTAAGATAGCAAGTTCCGGTGTGAATAATAAAAATAATTGATGAACATATTCCTCATTGCGTTGAATCACCATAATTAACATTTGTGAATATTTGCGTACGCATCCTCCTGAGTATTCGTTTTCCCTCTACTCTTGACGGTTGATGCATTTGTAGTGCTGTCAGGTTAATAACAGTAAACATGAATAAATGTATCCACACACAAATACTTGTTATTTTAACAAATAGTAGCTGAACCCAATAACATTATTCTTTCAGTCCAACTAAAAGAGTCGAAATGGAGTGTAATACGGCCGATCTAATGTTTATTTTGTGGATATACCGCAATTCCAGTCTCACGACTTGTTGTTGAACAATTTGATTTGATAGCACGAGACAGTTCTGTGACTGGACAGCCGAGCTAATGAAAGGCAGTCGGCTTCAAGTATAACAAACACTGCCCTTTGTTCTCTTTTCCCCATGAAACGTACATTCGTTATATGCATACTGAAATGCTGTTATTAAAAATGTGATTGCCAATGCTTTGCATAAATATCGTGCACACACAGAGGATGTGTGTGCCGAACAGTGGTTCATAGCATCTACAAATTACAACATTAGACGGCAATTTAATCGACAATCGACATGTTGATGCATTTTTGAAAATATATCCTTTTTTCTAAAATAATTTTTCTCAGGAAAGTGCTCAGTAATTGATGTCATATCAGTCTAGGCATTATACCAGATTTGATCCACGATTCGGTCGGGGATTAAAGGCTATTCTTCGATTGGTGAATTTTCGATGCAGTTTCCGAAAACGCTTTCTAATTGGTCATTGTTGAACCGGATCATAGGTTTTGACCTCCAACTCATCTGAAACAATATGTTTTTGTAGCTAAACCAGGTTTTTTTCTAAAGAGTTTCTTGATTTGATATGGGGATTGCTACACAAACCGTATACTTTTTTTGCTAGTTGGAGAGATATTTTAGAAAAAATCGATTATCCATTAGATGCATTACTAGAAAGATGTTTTCTCATTGATCCACTGTGATCCGAATCAAGAACTTTGACCTTCTGTTAGGACGTAAAGTATAAAAATACTTTGTTCCATTGAGAAATATTTAAACGACAATGAAGTTTTTTCATCGCACATTTTCAAATCAAAGCGTGTTACACTCTTGTTCCATCCTGGCGTTAAAGCGTAACATGCCTTTATTTTAAAATTTGAAATTAAGGAACTTCATTATCATTTGAATATTTTTATGTGGAATTGTTTTTGATTATTTTATTATCAGATAAATAAAGGCTTGTTTTTAAAAATGCATTTTTCGTTTTATTTATTTTTTTACTTTTTAGTGTTCATGATGTCAGGATAACTCTTTCGATAATTTCAATATAATTTTTATGTTTTCCATTGTTAAGAAGGTAGTGAATGCTGGTGAGCCATTTGTGTTCTAAATGTGAAATACTCGTATTACTCGAGATCCATCTCAAGTGCATGTCAATATAGCCAATACGTGACAATAATTTTAAATAGTCTGGATGCACTGGCAGCTGTAATCTAGTAGGTCGACAACGAGTTCATAATTTAACAACGTTGCAACTATCAATACTCGTATAAATATATGCTTCATGCTTTGCGTGGAAAGTGGATTTATCTCACAGTAAGTCTTTCGTAACTATGAAAAATAAGTGGATTAGTGTGATATGTTGCTTCCGCGTGAACACAATGTGTAATAGTGGACTGCTCGGGTTGATCCAGAAAGAAGGTTCCTGTCGATTTTAAACATGTAAAACATTGTTTATTCTTATATTTACATCATTGGGGAGATGAAAATTTTCATAATCGTCGTTTTTTGTAGACAGTAATCATTGGTTTCTCCAATGTTCGTTTAACACTTGGTTTTCAAAATTTTCATTATTTTCAAAATTTACAGTTTTATCAGAATGTTCAAAATGTTGAAAATGTTAAAAACTCACAATTTTAGAAAATTTCAATATGTTGAAATTTACGAAATTTTCAAAATTGTCAGATTTACAAAATTTTCAAAATTGTAAAAATGTTCAGGATTTTAAAACTTTTAGATATTTTCAGAATTTTTAGAATTTAGAATTTTCGAAACTTGAAATTTCTCAAGATTTTCAGAACTTTCAAGATTTTCCAAATGATCAAATTTTCAGTATTTTCGAAACTGTTACCAAATTTTTTTAATTTTTAGTCTTTAGAATTTCCAAAATTTTCAGAAATTTTCTAAATCAAAATTTTTAAAATAAAAAAAATTCCAGTTTTCAAATCTTCCAAAATTTCCAAAAATTGCAAAATTTTTTAAATCTCTAAAATTTACGAAATTTTAAAAATTTATGGAACTTCCAAAATTTTCTAAATCTTCATATCTTTCAAAATTTTTTAGGAGTTCAAAATTTTCAATTATTAATATGCCGATTATGAAGTTGAGTCATTAATTTTCAGATAATGATTGTAGAAGGAAGATAAACCAAAATATGTGTGTAAAAATAAAGAAAAAATTAAAAAAAAATTTTTACCTTGTTTTATAAAGTATCCTCCCGACAAGTATTTCAGTGCGGACCTGTATTTGATCGTGAGGTCCCCTGTGAGGTCTTAAGTCACCTGATTCACGAGCCCGTTGTACTACATTAACAAAGGCACGAGGGGTTGGTTGCACTCGATTGGTATTTGATATGTTGTATGTATGTTACCAATTTTTTTTAATTTTTAGTCTTTAGAATATCCACAATTTTCAGAAATTTTATAAATCAAAATTTTTAAGATAAGAAAATTTCCAGTTTTCAAATCTTCCAAAATTACCAAAAATTAAAAAAAATTTTTAATCTCTAAAATTTACGAAATTTTAAAAATTTTTAGAACTTCCAAAATTTTCTAAATTTTCATATCTTTCAAAATTTTCAAATTATAAATATGCCGATTATGAAGTTGAGTCATTAATTTTCAGATAATGATTGTAGAAGGAAGATGTTACCTTGTTTTATAAAGTATCCTCCCGACAAGTATTTCAGTGGGGACCTGTATTTGATCGTGCGGTCTTGGAGCACCGGCATGCCCTCCCCTGTGAGGTCTTAAGTCACCTGAATCACGAGCCCTTTGTACTACATTAACAAAGGCACGAGGGGTTGGTTGCACTCGATTGGGAAACCAATCCGCATAAATCCGTGATGCCGCGACAGCATTTTGTAAATAAGAATCATGTCCACAAGTTCAGCATTTTCGTAAACATGTGCCATTTTTTATTTCGTTTGAGCCACGCAACAAACGCCACTATTCACTCACGCGTTACCGACTGACTCATTGACTGAATACAACTGAATAAAATTGTAGTAAAAACATCGTGATAAGCGTTTCAAATTCTTTCGCTTTTTTGTTTCCGATGCGATGAACCGATAAGGCGGCTTATATCCGTTGTTGCCAAACAAGAGCACATAATATTATTATCGAGACAGGGCGGTACTCAAACTTCTAAAGGGCTATAACTTTGTTACTTTAATTTTACCAGATAAATGTTAAAGGAAAAAAGTATTTCTTTTGATCAGATCTACTCACTGTTAAAATAAATGACTCAACTTCGAAGTCACCCTGTATAAGTGTGTATCACTCGCGAAGGAGTATCAGTTAATTGCCGTGATCGTCCAACGTAAAAATATACCCACAACCACAGGTACTACAGAGGATAAGCCGTTTTTGTATTTGGAGTATTGAAAGTCAAAAACAATATCCGAACCCTAACAGAAGTGTGCCTTTCAAAAAACGTCCTGGTAGATTTTCGTAACCGCTGGTATCCAAGTCATTAAAATTTTTGAAAATCTGAATCGAAGAGAATTGGAATCAAAGGAATCGTGAACGAATCATAGATACTAGATTTGCCAAAAAGCACGAAACAGCTATCCATGGCTGGCTAGCAGTAGTCCGACGGACGTAAAGGTACGTTTATACTAGAGATTTTATTCCGTTTTCTCTCTGCAATAAAGTATATCAAATGTAAACCTTGGTGATAGAAGCTAGCCGAGATTTATTCAAATAGCTGAGAGAAAATGATCGAGACAAAGTGTCGTAAATGTAAACAACGCTGAGACAAGTCTCAACTAGTTTCTGATAGATCTGGCAGGAGTTGGCCGGCCGTCTACTTTTTAGCAGTCCATCGGGATACTTTGTGCTGTTTATTTTACGCTGTAAGAGTGTTTACAATAGGCAAAATATCCGATAATAAAAAAGAATGGACACGTGCAGAAGTGACCGATTTAATTGCTTGCTATGAACAACACCCTTGTTTGTGGAATGTACTTTCCAATGAATATAAAAATAAAATAATCCCTTTAAAAAATTAAGTGAAAAAAATGACTAGAAAAATCCATAGCCTCCGGAACCAATTTAATACGGAATTAGAGAAAATTAACTCTAAAAAATCAGGACAAGGAAGTGATGACAATTATGAAACAAAATGGCCTTATTTCAAAAATTTATTGTTTATAAAAACTAGTTTACAAACACGACAAACAACTGGAAATATGGTAAGTACATATGTTATTTTTTGCAAATATGTAGTACTCTGGGCTACTTACAGATATTTCTCATTTTTTACATATATCTGAACTGCCAAGGAACTTCTCCGTCTGGTGAATTAAAATAATCTCTAAACTCATCTCGAATTTCCTTCGCAGTATTACAGTAATTATTAGATCCCGGTTGAGGAAGGGGTAGCAAATTATTATCTGGAAGTCCTTCAATTCTCCAACTACCGGGTACAATTTCACCATTACCATCTTCTGTGTCAAATACATTATCTGTTGCATAAAATTTTATTCAAGATTTTTTTGTCATGTAACGTACATACAGCTAATATTACAGAATCCGTTCTTTCGGGCTTAAGAAGGATAGGCTTTCGTAAAACACGGAAAACGCTTGATACTATGCCGAAAACATTTTCCACCATTCTGAGTGCCCTCGAAAGCCTATAATTATAAGTTCTTGCGGAGCCTAGTATATTTGTTGTACTATGAGGTTTCATGATATATTCTTGAAGTGGAAAAGCCTCATCTGCGGCGACTATGTGGGGTACCGCTAGTCGTCGTCCAGGCAATGACTTCTTTGGTAGATTTATACCACTTCGCTGGATTAAACCAGGCATAGCACTAGCGGCAAAATGCGCCTATCGGAAATACGTCCATTGCATCCAATATCGACAAGTAAACATTTGTAATTTTCATCTACCAATGCCAAAAGTAACACGCTGTGAAACCCTTTTGTAATTAAAAAAAATAACTCCCTGAATTTGGAACCGCTTGTACGGCGACGTGTTTACCGTCTAATGCACATCTACAGTGTGGAAAATTACACTTTTTATCAAAATCATAACTTATCTTTAACCATTCTTCATTTGTTGTTGGCATCTGTAATATAAAATAGAATAGCATTATAAGACAATTCTTTTTAGGGTAAATTTGAGTATTATAATGCAAACTTTATTTCTATTTTCTAGGAACAATGTGATGAAAGGGAAAATGCTCTCTCAGCATCTTTGGAGGATATAAATGAAGAAAGCACGTCTGACTCCATCAAAGAAAAAAACCAAGAAACCAGTAAGCCGGTGAAAAAGAAAGCGAAGATAATAGACGATAAGGAGGAGTTACTTGCGAAAGCACGAAGCTCACTTTCAAATGATGAGTATGATATCTTCGGTTTATTGCTGGTGAACTTAGGGCATTGCGTTACGATTTTTTTAAAAGAAAATTAAAGAGAGGGATTCAGAAACTCGCTTTGGAAATTACAGAGGAGGATGAAGAAATAAGTTCCTTGGTACAATTTTCAAATACCCCATCGACTTCCACTACATCAACTTTTGACTACAATCCTCCATCCAATTTAAGTCAGAGCTCTGTGTATACTGTGCCAAATGAGTATACTGATCTCTAGTTTATTACATCAATAATAATTGATTCTAGTAAGCAATTAATGTATAGTCAACGCCAAACAAAGTGGCGTGCACGTCATCACGATAAAAATTCCCCGACCTAATGCCTAGGTTTCTATCACAAACAATTGCTCTATTGCAGTTTCATATTAATGTGATATATAAATTGTAAAATGGTCATTACTCTCTTATTATGGTTAATAGTCATATAAACATTGTTATTAAAATATCACATAAGTTGCTTTCTGATAAATTTAGACTTATCGACATGTAAACGCACTAAACCGATTTCGCAGCGTTGACACATTGTCACCTTGAAACTTATTTAAACTGGGAACTGACATTTGTATTAATTTTGACACTGAATCAATTTGTGGCATTTCAAATCTTTATAAATCCTTTGGCCCCGCATACTGTAAATCAACAACTGTCTGTTTCAAAACAAAATTATTCATTTTACGAGTAGATAAAGGCAATTTTGGTATATAAAGATGCCCAAACAGTTAAATAGTCGGTGTAAGGAACTCGTGGCCTCGTTAATGCACTACTTTGAGCAAGAAAGGGACAACAACGGGCCTTTGTTGCCTTTAAATGCTGTTCAAGAGGTAGGTTACTAATAATTATATGTAATGTATATTAATAATAGTGAAATTTTATTTCATTTTTTGTAGCGTGTTGCTGCTGCTTTAAAAATTAGTTTAAGGACAGTTAGTCGTATTTCCGAGGGTGTGAAAAGTGATGCAAATTTAGAATCGCCCAAGAAAAAGCGGAGTTATATTAAACGTGTAACCAACACAGCGACATTGGATACAAGTGCCATTCGAGAAGTGATCTATAATATGTATCACAAAAGTAAGATCTTATTATAATAACTTATCAGAAATTTGCATTAATTTGTTAACTAAATTATAATGTCATATTACACATGGTTTCAGAAGAACAAGTTACGATACAAACTTTATGGTCTCGATTAAGAGATAGGGCATTATTTGATGGTAGTGCCACGTCTTTAAGGCGGTTGCTTAGAGATCTTGGATTTAAGTGGCTTAAGGACAATCCGCGACGAGGGCTCATGGAACTACCAAGTATAGCTTTGAAAAGGGTGGAATTTCTAAGGCAATACAATCAAGCCAAGGTTGAGGCCTTATACCAGTTTGTCTTCCTCGATGAAACTTGGATATTTCAAAATGGGACCATAGGTCGCTCTTGGCAAAATGGAAACCAAAAAAGCGTGAAAGCTATTAAAACAGATGGTAAAAGGTATGTACTTTTACACAATTTGCACTATAAAATTTAAAACTAATATATTTTAGATACATTATATTACATGCTGGAAATGAAAATGTGTTTATTGAGGGTAGTGAAGCGATATTTTCTTCGAAAACAAAATTGAGCGATTACCATGGAGAAATGAACCAGGACAATTTTTTGAAATGGTTTCAACATCAGTTATTAGAAAAATTGGAGAGTCCATCTATGATTATACTGGATAACGCCCCTTATCACAGCATGATATTGAACAAAGTGCCCAACAATGCATGGACAAAAAAAAATATCCAAGACTGGTTGACAAATCAAAACATACCATTTTTAAACACAATGTTTAAAACAGAGCTATTGAGTATTGTTGCTCGGTACATAATGCTTCTTAATTATATATATTTTGGTCGACAGTTTATATTTCTTTTGTTTATTCCTATTCTTAAAATAACTGCTTTTTAGAAACAAACCACCTAAAATATACGTGATTGATGAATTGGCGGAACAACATGGGCACAAAGTTCTTCGTCTGCCTCCTTACCATTGTATATTTAACCCTATTGAGTTAATTTGGGGCATAGCAAAAGGTTACTATAACAGACATATTGGTAGAGATGGTAACAGTGAAAAAGACTGTTTGGATATGTGGAACGAGGCTCTACAAACGGTTACCCCAGACATGTGGAAAAATAGTGTTCGACATACTGAGCAAGAAATTTTTAAATGGTATGAAAGAGAACGAATTTTTGATCGACCAGACATCGAACCTTTAATAATCAACTTTGAGAGTGATGAAGATTCAGATTCAGACAGCGCTGAAGAAAGAAACTCCGACTAACTTTATTGTACAGAAAAAGCTTACACCAGTAGCTTACCTAATTTTAGAATGCATTTTTCTGTATGAATTCTGTAAAATAAATACCATGCATAAAATTTGGAGGACCCCATTTGGATTTTTATTCAGTACCTTTAAGCTATCAATTAAATATGGTAGTTTCATAGTATCATCTGATCAATAATTGTCATACTTAATGATTATGCAAGTACAGATCTATAATTTTATTATACTATTATTTTTGTTCTCATTTGAGGTTAATATTGCTTATAAACCTAGATATGTAAATAATAAATTTTATTATTTTACAAAAAGTTTGGCAACAATGTAAATTTTTCAACACACCCACCTTGATGACGTGCACGCCACTTTGTTTGGCGTTGACTATAGATTCCATTTAGTTTAATAAAGGTTTCTTTAATTTAAAATCACTTACCTTTAAATAATTTTTTAAGGCAATGGCAATGGCTTGACACACTGCATAAACTATACCCGATATTGCAGACTTTGATATGCGAAATAGATAGCTCAAACTAATGTAGCTGTCACCTAAAATTTATTGTTTTTTTACCTCTGCTATCACAGAAAAATAAAACTTTCATACCTGTGGCTAAATATCTTAAAGTGACAAGCCCCCTTTCATTAACTGAAATTGCTTCTCTCATTTTGGTGTCATTTCTGTGGATCAATGGACCCACCAAATTTATTAAATTATGCATATCTGTTGACGACATTCTCGCGAAATTTTGTAATTGTATTGGATCTTCAACTTTTAGCTCATTAATTAACTGAGTGTAAGCTCCTGCAGTACTTCTTCTCAATAACCAGTTCTTCACCCAAACTTTCTTTTTCCTTCTTTTTTTATCGTCCAATAATAAAATTATCATTGCAGCAGCCTGACGTTTACTACAAGCCATATTAAAATTTTAACTGAAACTAGATGGTAGACGGACAGAAAAGGTGTCGAGAGATCTAAAGCATCCCACAAACCGGCGCGAAATATTCGCTTTGGCTGCGAAAATTTCGCGGCGATGAATTCGCGATCAGATTAAAACGCGGCGGTTTACGGGCAGGCTCAGACTTGTGCGAAGCGAATGCGATTGTTCCAGCGTTTTTATCGCGGCGTATTTCAGTTCGCCTTTGACCGCGTTTTTGACGCCGTTCTTCAAAAATTCGCAATGGCAAAAACGGAATTATTGATAGAAATAGTGAGAAAGTATCCTTGTTTGTATGATTTGTCGAACGATGAATACAGGGATGTGAGAAAGAAAGGCAAGATTTGGATGGAAATAGGAAACGAATTAAATACAAATGGTATGTACCTAATATTTTTTATTAACTTGTTAAATAATTTACAGTCTACACAAATGTGAAAACGAACATTCTATATATTGGGCATAGGCATATCAGAATTAAAATAATTTACGAATTTGTCACGAGTAGAAAATGCTAGCCTTGCTGCCCGCCGAGGATCATTTGCTATATCAGTAAAAGCTCCAAGCACGGGTTCTGGGGGATCTAAGAATTGAAAATATTTGTCATCGCCACATTTACTTCGTAAAAAATTGTGTAAAACACATGCCGTACGTACAATTAGAATAGTAGTATCTACTTTAGTTTCTAGTGGCCTGTAAAATATTCGCCATTTTTGAGACAAAATACCAAACGCATTTTCCACGACCCTTCTAGCTCGACAAAGTCTTACATTGTATTTCTCTTTTCTGACGTCTGTTAAAGTCTGCTTATAAGGAAACGGTCTCATAAGGTATGGTTTTAAAGCAAATGCTTCATCAGCAATTAAGACGTACGAGCAGATTTCATTTTGCCCAGGGAGAAATCTAGGTGCAGGGACACTCATTAAATTTTGTTCAAATCGTTTTCCCATGTTTGAGGTTTCGAAAATACCCCCATCACTATTTTTTCCGAAACCACCAATATCAACACATATAAATTTATTGTCCGGGCCAACAATGGCCATAAGTACTATTGAATATTTATGTAAATAGCACCAGTAATTGGAGCCACTGTTGGTAGGTCTCTTGACTGTTACATGTTTACCGTCCACGCTGCCAATGCAATTGGGAAATCCCCATCTATTTTCAAATTCTTCAGCACATTTTTTCCATATATTCTCTGTTGGTTCTGGTAAATATATATGCTCCATATGTCTGCATATCGCTTCACAGGCTTCGGTTACGATTGCACTCACTGTTGTAAAGAAAACTCGAAAGCTATGCCCAATGGTATAGAAGGTGTCACCAGTGGCAAGGAATCTATAAAAAAAATCGTTTTTAGGTGATGAAGTAAAAAAAAGGTGGAAGAATGTCAGAGACACATTTGCAAAATATATAAAATCTACCAAACCAAAGACCGGCCAAGCAGTGGGCAACATAAAAAAATGGCAGTGGGCTGACTACATGGAATTTTTCTGTCCTTTTTTGGCATTTGCCAAAACGTCGTCTAATGTGAAAGATATTGACGTCATACACTATGAGACTGCCGAATTTAACTCAAATATATATCAGGAAAGGGCTGGAAATGTAGAAACCGAAAATTTGGAAGAGCGCGGCCATGGAGAAGATGAAAATGCTGATGTAGATGCAGAAGATGCACAGAATGCCTCGGCAACACAGACAGCACCACCTTCTTCATTGAACACTACAGCAGTGACTACTCCAGGGCACACCTTTCTGCAGACTGCAACTACACCAAAATATAAAACGAGCAGAAAACGCTATGAACCACCATCTTCGTCTGTACAACAGGTCATTAATTATTTTGAAGGTAAAAAACCTAAAAAAGAGAACGAGGCCATTGATTCACTTTTCTTGGCACATGCACAGACTGTGAAAACACTTCCCTTAAAGCGTCAAGCCCGAATAAAACTAAAAATAGCCGAATTAATAGCGCACGAAGAATTTGAACATATTGAAGAA